ACAAATGTGATACATACATTCAGATACAGAAAACTAAACTCATGCTTCCCTTGGCTTGGGAGGGCAGAGGCTTTCCCCATTTTCTGTGAATGTTCCTTCTCTTAGAAGAGAGGAGGAGATTAAGAAGAGGCATGAGAGCAAGCCAAATGTATGAAGACTGCCCTGCAGAAGATAAGGCAGACTTAATCTCTGCTGCTCCAGGGGGTAGGACTAGAAGCAACAGATGGAGTTGCAGAAAGACCATGCAAAGCACAAAGCCTCAGGTGCCTGAGCCTCAGCTCAGGTCAAAGCAGAGGGACACTGAATCATGGCACTGTTTTCAAAAACACCGCACTGGGGTCCAAGTTGCAGCCAGGCATCACTGCCCACCTGCACTGGTGTGCTTTGGTGACTAAACAGGGTGGACCAAGTAGTGAAGATGCAATGAAAAGTGACAGGATCGTGGTACCAACACTTAAGGGAAAATAATGAATACCACACTTAATGGCAGTCTGAGCCTATGTGAAGGAAAGGCACACCCACGCAAGCGAGAGACTTGGTTAGTCATGCACCAGATGTCAAGCCTCGAAATGAGAGCCAAAAAGAAGTTATGATAACTTGTGAGTTTCTGAAAAGACTTTGCCAGAAGCCAGGAAATGACTTATTTAAATATAAGGGAAAGACCCAGATAGAGGGTATTGTAATCTGAAAAAGTGTCCAAGCAACATATGGTTTCCAGATCATATTTGGTTTACACATATTTGATTATGAAGTTGTCAAGAGGAGAAATAGAAAAGGGATTCAGGGCACTGCAAATGTTGATTCAGCGATGGAGGAAACAACAGAGAAGGCATGTGCAGGAGGAAGGGGGGAAATTTTGCATAGTCCACTTTTTTTGGCTAACAATTTTAGAAATGTGTAAATGTCTCTGTAAGAAGAGTGTAAAAAGTAGAAAAAGGACTTGAATGAGGGAGAAAGGAAAAATGTGTGATTCATCCACTTCAGCTCTTATTCAACCTTGTCCGTGGTACTGAATAAGGGTTCTTCCTCCCCCCCCCCCCCCCCCAGACAGGATCTATCTTTTACCAGTTGCATTGCAGGCTGAGATAATATGGTCCCCTCCATGCTGTGAATACTGTTATTAGGGTACCATCCTATGTAAGCTTAGACCTATAAAAGGACCTATAACGCTCAGCATGTCCCAGCCAGTTAGGATTGAACTGAACTGGCATAAGATTCTACCTTTATTGACTGTGACCACCAAAATAGGGTGAGGAGTTTGTTTGGATTGTGTGTGTGTTTTTCTTAACATGTTACCTAATTTCTTTATAAACAGGACACAAAGAATAACCCTCTGAATATGTAATAAACAAGAGTGGCATATTTTCCCATCTATAGGCAGAACTCCTTGCAAAAGTTCCAAACAAACTGAAGTAGGACTTTTATTTGGCTCTTTAGTTTCAGATTAGTTAGTCCTGTAAACACTGAATCATAGGGGAAATGAAAAAAGCTAAATTTTATTTCATTTTTAAAACAATCTTAAACTAAAACTTAAAGAGCAATTGCAGGTCTGAATCCATGGGGCCTACTTAAGGTATAATCAAATTCTTCTTAAGACACTTAGAAACTCCATCTCTGAAGTAGAAAATGCTAGAAACATTAGAAAAGACAGCAAGCCTGTCAAGTTTATATAACATTATCTCTTACAGCTTACTCCATTTCCTATGATTTTCTGTTAGCTTAGGACCTTTACTGATATATTCATGTAACAATATTTTTTGCTCAGCAACTCCTACAGAATTGATTTGCATTTGCAATGTTCTTCAAACAAACCATCTTGTAGAAGATGGGTGTTTTTGTAATGGTTTCTATTCTAATGTCATTTTTCCTCTCCTAACAGCAACAACCGACCTCCACCCAGGGCTGCCTGAAACAAAGGAAAGATGGCTCCCACTCCCATTCCAATGAGACAGGAAGCTGAATCCTATTTCAAAACTTCCAGTAGGGCTGGTTCGTCCATCACACACGAGGGCAGCAGGCTACCTTATTGACTGCCACAGGGTGCACACAGCTCCAGCCACTGACAACTCCCCCCCTGCTCTCTAGGCATCGGTTGCCTACGTTGTGCTCCCTCCTCTTAATGTACCCTCACAACAACCCTATTAATAGTTCTAATTAATAGTTTTTCTATGTATACTAGTGAATAGTTTTGGTTGTGAACTTTTGTACTGCTGTTATAGTTTCTCAGCTCTGAATGTAAGTGGTCTTTGAATATACTGCATATGGGAAGGTAAGGAAATGCTTTCAACTGACCTTAGACCTGTTTTGTGTTGTTGCACATACGGTCCAGGGAAGCAAGCTGGCAGGTCCTGTGGAGCTGTGTGGTGGCATTAACAGAGTCAACCAAGAGATGGCTGGCTTTTCCCCGCCCTGCTATGGTGACATTAGGCTCAGTCTAGGGTCTACTGTGTGGCGAACCCATTAGCACATCAGCAGGCAGGTGGAAACATAGGTAAGTAGGACCCTGTGAGGTAGGTTTGGTTGGGCAGGGCGCTGAGAAGTAGTATATCAATGGCTACATTTGTAAAAATAATGACTTGATTAAATGCCAACTGTGGGAACACAAACTCTGGAGTTGGATCTAGATGTAGGACTACCTAAGCCACAATTATTTCAATGTGTGAAAAGATTTTCTCCAAAGGAGCTTGCACTGGTAAACTTGTAGATCACCCTGAAAAGTCAGCAAGAAACCAAGTAGACAGCATTGTTGTCCTCAAGGCTGAAGACCAAAATGTGTGACCAAGCCAGCAGGAAAAGTGTACTGCAATAAAACTGAATCATTCTATCAAAGATTTTGCAGAGGCATTACTGTTTATAGGGCAAGAAAATTCAGATTATAAAAATCCATATCTCTTAACTGCTTCAAACTGACAGCTTCCTTGGGAGAGGAGAGAAACCCTCCTGTCAAAACATCCCTAAGACTACCCTGAGGGAAAGTTCTTTTCATAAGATTAGTCAGTTTGGCAGCTGACCCTCCCTCCAGTATTATTCGCTGAAATACTTTTCTCCCTGTTCAGAGGAGGCAAGACTGAATAACGCAGGTCTCGGATATACCCACAGAAGTCTCTGTAGTCTAAATAGAGGCTAACCTGGTTCTTAATTCACACTGTTGTGCCCAGCTATTACTGCCTGTAGGGCTCTTGGTCAGACTGGCTTTCTTCATAGCAGCAGCATTTGTACTGCACAAATGCATTAAGAAGAGAAACTCAGGTCTCCCACTAGGCAGTTAATGGCGATTAAATAGGGCACTTATGTAAGAATGACCAATTACAAACGTGCTTAATTCAGGCTTCAGGTAATTTCTTGTGCCTGTGCACACAGACACACACATATAAAATCCACATGCCTGCTCCTCATCTTCCACCCGTGTAAGAGGTGACCTCTCTTTATAAAAGGCCTGGCTATTTACCAACGAGTCTTTTGATATGTCATGCACAGGTTTCCTCTTTTGTTGCATTGGCAGAGGTGTGGCGTCTTGAGCAGCTACAGGGCAGGCAGAAAATTCCCCCATCACTGCATCTTCTAAGCAGCCTGTCCCGGTCTGGGGCCCTCCAGAAAGGTTGGACTGCAGCATGTGTCAGTCACAGCCATCAGGGCCATGGTGGGCCTGGTGAGAGTTGTAGTCCAGCATGCTTGGAAGGCCCCATGTCGGGAAAGGCTGTCCTAACATTACAAACCAGGCAGCCATCCCGCAGGACGTCTGCTGGCTACTGAGACACTTTGGCATCTTCCCCACATCAGCTTCCTCCATAAAACTGTCCAGTAGCTGATTTTGGTATAAAGGTTCACATCTGCTGAACCTTTTTGACTTTTGACCTGCTCCTCAAATTCCTTAAACCAGATCCAAAGGCTGACAAAAGATTAAGGGCTATATTATCCATAGAGTGCTGTTTGTTGCCCTGACCCATAAGTGAAAGCCTATCAGGAGTCCATACTGTGTGGGGTGAGGCTTCTTCTCTGGCCCCACAGTTACACTGAAAAGCCAGCAGAGATGCTTGGTTTGTAAGGAAAGGCATGATACACCTCAGGGCATCTTTTCCCAACTTCAAATTATGTGCAGTTACTGCATATATAATTTACCACCTGACTAGCAGTTCTTGCAGTGGCGATCCTCAAGTTCTTTTCTTTAAATCTAGGAAGGTTACTAACTTCACATTAATTCACCTTTCAGCTCTCATTTTCCCACCTTATTTCCTTGCCTGTTGCCCCTCTTTATGGTTCTGTGTAGAAGAACAGGACTGAAGCCAAGTGCATCTTTTAGAGCAAGAAACATGGCAAAGTAGATGCTCCCACGATATCTAATAGCATCAGATAGATGTTGGTTTTAGTCAGTATTGGCTTGTCAGATCCTACCACTACCATCTATAACTATGATCCGACATGGGTCAGGTCAGAGCTAAATGCTAAACATTAAATAAGTAGCTTGCCACCGATTCCACCTTTTTATTTTACTGCCAGGTAAGTGTTCAGTGTCCTTATCTGGACCAGGACAGCTGCCTGGAGGCAGTGAAGCATAAACCTTCCCACACTACTGGCTTTTTTTTTACACTAAACATGTTACTCTCTCGCAGGGAAGGCTAAAAAAGGAAGAGGGACCACTGCAGGCAACCCTCCATTGAAACCAATGATGGCTCTTCCTTTCTAACCTTGGTGCAAGGTGGACAAACATGGTTTAAATAGAGGCTCAGCATCTCCAGATGTGGCAATCCGGCCCTCCTCCCATGCTTATTTGGAGGTAAAAGAGAAAGTGACTATCTTAACATCTAGTTTAGCACTCAGAAGTAAGACACACTGATTCAATAGGAACTCAGGTAAGTGCACACAGGGCTGCAGCAGCCGATATCAATCATGTCCTGCATCAACCATAACCAATTGCCAAGAGCATCCTGGAAATGAATAATGGACTAGAAGGACCTTCTGGATTGTGATTTGAACGTCTTAGGAAGAGTAAGACAACTTACCACAGTGATCACATTGGCTGCTGGGATGGCTAGATTTTCTACTTCCTGGTCCTCATCAGTCATAACTAGGAGATCGAGCGATGGGTCATGTGCAGGTATAGAGAATGCTGATTTGACTATGATGGCTGGGTGCAGCTTGCTGATTTTTGCATGGGAATGGTACCTATAAGCATCACTGGAATCCAAACTTTTCTCGATGGTCTGCACATGATGATAAATAAATATTGGCTTCCTGCTTTTTCTCTGATGAATTGCCAAGAAATGGTCACTGTCTCCTGAAAAGCATCCTATTAAAAAAAGGGAAGGAGAGGAGAGAAAAAAGAAAATAATTATGATGATAAAAGGAGTATAATGAGTGTTTTTTGTATTATTTCTCTATTCATTCCATAAACTTTCTTTTATAAGTCTCATTTGGGAATTCATCATCACTTTCCACTGTAAGGATGTGACCTACATTGGGGAAATGCGAAGAAACATATGTGAATTTTCTACTTTAGAGGGACAAGCCTTACTAAAGACATTTTAAAATGCATGGCTTCTGCAAGAGGAAATCTTGTCTCACCAGCCTATTGGAGTTCTTTGAGAATGTCAGTAAGCACATAGACAGGGACGACCCAGTAGACATTGTTTACTTGGACTTCCAGAAGGCTTTTGACAAAGTCCCTCACCAAAGGTTCCTGAGCAAACTAAGCAGTTATGTAATAAAAGGGGCCCCTCTTCTGTTCTTTAATCAGTTAGTGATCCTTAGGCAGAGGGTGAGGATAAATGGTTATTTTTCCCAGTGAGAGAGATGACACCAGTGGAGTCCCATAGGGTTCTGTATTCGGACCAATGCTTTTCAACCTATTCATAAATGATGCGGAATTAGGAGTAGGTAGTGAATTGGCCACGTTTGCTGATGACATTATACTTTTCAGGGCAGTTAACACCAAAAGGGACAGTGAGGAACTCCAAAGGGATCTCTCCAAGCTGGGAGAATGGGCATCAAAATGGCAAATGCAGTTCAATATGAGCAAGTGTAGAGCAATGCAAGTTGGGGCAAAAAATCCAACTTGAAGTATGCATGAAGCTGATTGGAAGGAGGACAGATAAAATGAAGTGCTTCTTCATACAGCAGATAGCTAAACTATGGACTTCGCCATGGGAAGTGGTATTGTCTACCAATCTGGATGGCCATAAAAAGGAATTGGCCTGATTCATAGAGGAGGAGAAGGCGACCAGTGGCTGCTAGCCTTGCTGGCTCTGTGCTGCTTCCTCTACCAGAGGTGGCATACAAACATACATCAATTTGAAGAGCTGGACAGGAGCAGTTCTCGTACTCATCCTGCTTAAGGGTTCCTGTTTGCAGTGGTTTGCCACTGTGTGTGGGATGCTGGACTAGAGGGACCTTGGGTCTGATCCAGCATGGCCTGATGTTCTTAGTCCTCCATGGACTTGAAATATATTGCATGAGATGCCAGAGTCACATCAGCTAACATTAATGCAGTTGCATCTCCCACCGTCTTAGAAACACTGCAAAAACAAATACACTGTGATACAGTCTTTATATATACAACCAAACATAACTCTTTCCTGCATGTGAATCCATGACTACATGTGTCATAATATAGCCAGCACTTAGAATTTCAGGATAACACTGGATTTCTAAATTTTCCTCTAATTCTATATGGTAATACATTTGTTACAAAAGCTAGACAAAAATGACACTGTGTACTGCTCTCTTCTAAATTTATATTGTATTATTTGGGTATTTATGTGTTTATGGGATTTGAACTATAAGCCATCCTGAGACCCACTGGGTATTGGATGGGGTAAAAAATTACCCAAATAAATAAATAAATAAATCCATTACTAATTCCTAAGGCAGAATTTACTCTCATCTCTGAGATTACCCATGCAGTATATACAATGTCTTTTGATTGGGGATGAGGGGAGGGAAGAAAGCATGTTTTTGTTGATCAAAAACAGCCCTGCAACCTTGTCTGCAGATATCTGATTTCTAGCATATAATGAAACCATATGGTTACAGAAAATTGAAGAACAAAGTTGGACTTCCACATGACCACATCAGGCACTGAAGAAGAAGGACAGATTAGAATCCAGTGAAAGATATATGGCTTATCTCCTTGGAACTAGACAAATGTCCACATTACCAAGCTTTTAGATTTGTGTGCGCATTAGTCCAACACCCAGCTCTGCCTCATTGCAAGGCCTTTTTGCAGAAATGTCATGCAGAGGTCACGGCAATTTGAGGGCTGCCAATCCCCTATGCTCCAAAAGCAATGAAAATGCTAACTGAAACGATCCAAAGAAGATCTATTGCATGCAATTATGTTCTAGTGACCTAACAGTCTTGTAATAATTCAAGCTAGAAGTTTACTTTGTTTATAATCCAAATGACTTGTGATCACCTAAACCAAGGGTAGGCAACCTGCCCCCCTCCAGATGTTTTGGATCATAAGTCCAATAACTCTTGACACTTAGCCATGCTGGCTGAGGCTGTTGAGAACTCTAGGACAAAATGTCTAGACCTCTAGCTCTACTCCTAATCTAAACCATGGAGGTGATTTCTCTCTGCTAGAGTGAAGAAGGGCTGTTGGCAACATGACCCCAGCTTTCTCCATGCTGATTGGGGATGGTGGGAGTTGCAGTGGAACATACCTGGGGAATACCAGGTTGGAGAGAGCAGCTTCTGCCCATCTGTCTGTTCATTTGGAGAGAAAATACTTCCTATGAGTATTCTCCCACTAGAAAAGAATTTCTCCAAGTAGGGGATGCTCATATAATATGGAAAGGAAACTACTTTGGAAGGAATTAAGAAAAGTAATCTTTGTATGGCTCCATAAGGGTCAAGTTTTCTTTATGTCATGTTTCAGGCAATACTCACCACCACCCCCTGCAAAGAAAGGCAGCGCACACAAAAAATTAAGGGATAATATGCAATTAAAATCTACTAATGTAAGACCAGAAAATTTAGAAAAAGCAACCACTTTCAAACCTAATTCAGCAAACACACCAAAACAATTTAAAATAGAGGCAGCAGCCATATAAGTAATACAAATTCAAACCTGCTATATTTAACAAAAGCAGAGCAAAATGAGAGCTTTCTCAGAAGGCATCCAACCATATACCTGTTAGATCAGAAGTCCACATGTTAAGCTTCCCCTCCCCCCAAAAAGGTCCTGTTCCTTGTGCTCACCAACCCAATTTATTCTGATGATGGGCTATGAGCAAGTCTCTCAAGAACTAAGGAGGTTCACACTGATGCAGAGATAAGGAAACACCACTGGTTCCTTGTATGTCCTTTGTAGAATTGCCATTTGTCCTTTTTTATAGAGAACCATCTTGTTCCAGAAAACCACCATTGGTGTGAAGGCACCTTCTGCTTGGAGGAGACCCTCTCCCATTCCAGATTAAGCATAAAGAGTCATTAGAACTGTTGCCCTTCAGCAATTAGCGCCTGGTGAGCCGACAGAATAGGCAGGCAGACAGATCACCTAGTCAGTCTCCAAAATTATAACGAGATGCATTGGATTAAAATTAAAATAATGTCTCACATTGCATCAACTCATATAAATTAGCATATGCAAATTTTACACAAGTCTCTTTTGTTCTCTTTTTAGCAATGTACGCCCTCTTTTTTTAATGATTAATAAGTGGCTAGCCTAGTCCTTTGTATCTCATTATGCCTCCTTTCTTTCCTCTTTAAAAGAGGGAAGAGTTGCTACTGTCTATCAGGAAACACTTACTATCTGCAAAAAGTAACAAGGCTGCTATTTTTGCCCAGTCTGTCAAAATGAACAGCATGGTAGGGGATGGTGTTTTAAAGGAAGCTGATGTGTTCCATATTTTCTATAGTCCACCATGTATTTAGTCCAGGACCTGTCATGGACCCCTGAAAAAATAGAAGTGCAGAAGATCTTGAATACTCTTGTGTGCATCAGTCATCTCGGAAAATATCAGCTATAGAATTCATACACCAGAATGGAGCCTGAAAACACGCATAAACTTCTAGATCATCTGCACATCTTTTATTTTTTTAACGGAGATCTATGGCAGATCCCTGGACCATAAGGAAGGCTGAGCACCAAAGGATTGAGGTCTTTGAATTGTGGTGCTGGAGGAGACTCCTGTGAGTCCCTTGGACCACAAGGCGATCAAACCGGTCAGTGCTAGAGGAGATCAACCCTGACTGCTCTTTAGAAGGCCAGATCCTGAAGATGAAACTCAAATACTTTGGCCACCTGATGAAAAGGAAGGACTCCCTGGAGAAGAGCCTGATGCTGGGAACAATAGATGGCAAAAGAAGAAGGGGACAGCAGAGGATGAGTTGGCTAGATGGAGTCACTGAAGCAGTCGGCGTGAGCTTAAGTGAACTCTGGGGGATGGTGGAGGACAGGAAGGCCTGGAGGAATGTTGTCCATGGGGTCGCAATGGGTCGGACACGACTTCGCAACTAACAACAACAACAATGGCAGGTCCAGGACTAATTGGCCTTCATGAGCTTCTGGCTAACACAGTAGGAGAAAATTGATCCGATAGTAGAGGTATAAATAATTGTGTTCATTGAACAGATTAGCACAAAAAAAAAAAGGATCCAGGGTGAATGACCCTACCTGACAGCATGGAGTGGAAGAGGGAAACACCAATGTATCCTGGTTGATAGTTTTCATTCTTGCTGCTGCATTTTCCTTTACAGACAAGCACAGACTGTCCTGGTAGCACCTCTAGAATCATAGAGCCATAGCATAGCAGAGTTGGAAGGGGCCAAGAAGGCCAACAGCTCCAGCCTCCTGTTCAGTGAAAGACTCCAGATTAAACCATCCTTCTCTGATGGCTGTCCAACTGCATCTTGAATGCCTTTAGTGTGTGAAAGCCCACAATGTCCAAAGGTAACTGGTTCCATAGTCATACCACAGTTCCCAGAGTGCTTGGAGGAAAGAGACTGACTGCTTATACCTTTTTAAGTCTATAGTTCAGATAAGCTGCATATAAGATGAAGAGAATGGTGAGGGTGTCTTTTAACCCTTGATCAGTGACTGCTCTGATAATATTTGCCGGAAGAACTTTGGGCTGATTATCCATGCAAGATGGTCATCTTATAGTATAATATTACTGAAACTATAGTGATAAAATTATTGTAGGAATCTTACCTCTATGTCTGGGGCATTGCAATATCACTATTTTCTCCTACATTTTTCAACCATTCTCATTTGATTTGATAGAAAATAAACTGTGTTGAAAAAGGAACTCAAATGAGAAATTTTAGATAAATTCTTATGGACTAACTTTTTGTGTTTCCCTTACACTTGAGCTGGGCCACAAGCATGTGGGAGTGCCTGTTGGCTTTCTCTGTGCAAGTCTATTGCTGGTGGCCTGTAGTCTCATTGCCTTCTTGCACTTCAATTAAAGCCCCGGAGAAAATATTACATAGTGCTTTTTCAGATCAGAAAGTGCAGGCAGCTAGGGAGGCTGCAGAGCAATGGAGAGCAGAAAGATAAAGCACACACACATATTATTATTATTATATAGCACACTTGGTCATGTCACAGGGATTATATACACCCGAAACTGCCACAAAAATAAATTCAAAACAAATTATAAAGCCTGAGAATGAGGCAGAAAAATGGACACCTCTTTTGTGCAGGAAAAGAACCTCCAGAAAGGTAGAGAGCAGGTTCTAATGCAGCACCAGTTCCACCTGTTCAGTGGAATATTTTTTATCATTGCACCTTCATTGAAGCAAATGCAAAATTGGGGCTAGGAGGCCAACACAGATGATGCTGTTGCAGTGGCAGTGGGGATAAAACATTCAAAACGCCAATGAAAAAGCAAGGCACTGTGCTACATCCTTTGCTAGTGCTGAGCCCTATGCGTGACAAACAGTTGAGAAGTTCTACTCCCCTGAAGCTGTTTGCTAAATTTGTCCCCTCCCCACAATTTCTCTGCCAGAAATAGGCTGGTGAATTTTGAGAGGTCATTTACGCTGAGCTTTACTATTTTCCATAGTAGACAAAGGCCTGAACTTTTGCTCTGAAGTCCATCTTGTGTGGTCATTTTTAGTTACACGAATGATTATAGCAAACAATCAAACAGTGTTGCTATCCAACTCCCTTTACTTGCTTATTTTTTACAGATAGTGGCAGGGCAAGGGTTGAATTGCTCTAATAATATTCAGAAACAAACTTCATTGGCAGACTAGTTTGTATATTCTTTGAAGTGTTTTTTTCTACATCACCAAACTCTGTTTCATAAGCACTTTTTGAGCCAGAGTCTGCTCTTTGTAAATGTGAGAAGCCCTGCTGATATAAAATGGGCTTTAAATGATTTAAATCAAAGTCAAATGAAGTCAGATGAAAATCTCTCTTTGATATTAGAGGACTTTGGATCAGGTAACACATGTGAGATCAGAATTTGGCCCAAAGTGCAACACAAACAACAGTCCCTCAGTTCATGGAAGAAATTGATTAATAGGCCCATGTCTTCTGTACAAACGTGCTTCTGATTGTCTGGCTTGCACTGAGGGGAAGTGCATCAGATTTGCTTAATCTGAGTCCTATCTGCCATTAGGAAGTGTGGGGAAATAAGGCAAAGTGCAGGGTTTTGAGCTCTGGATGACGCTGGTGGCACTGCAGAAATTCATTGTTGCATTTGTGCTATGAGCAATGCTCTCTCAGGACACCACACTATTTCCTGAAGAAACATGGCATGAAAGAGAGATGCCCCTGCTAGTCAACTCAGGAAAAGTCTACAGTGCTGCCACCTACAGTTGTTAGAGGGTAGTGCCACTCCAAGATTTGGCGGGACCATGGCCAACCATGCCAGAGTGCTATGCAAGAAGTCATTTGCACAACAAAAGCTTTCATGGCAGTATTTCAGGGGTGGCTTGTGGAAAGTTAGGACAGTGGCCCTTTTGGAGCAACATGCCATTTCTTAGTTTTAGGGGCCCAATAGATATAAGAATTGGCTGCCTTAAAAGTTGACTTTAATTGGCTGACTTGTTGACATAGACATTAATAAGATGAAGAATGCTACTCAAGAATGCTACTATGGAGTGAGGACCTTGGTTTCGTTTCTTGTAATATTCTCAGATTTGTGCAGCATTTCAGCTTAAGTAAGATGTTGTATCCCGCGGTTTTACGGATGAGACCAGAGACTAGTTGGAATTTTTGAGAGGAGATTTATTACCTGCAGGGACCACACTCGTTGGATAAGATAGTAAATGTGTCACTTGCTGCTAAGACTTAAAATAATAAAATAGCAACAGCAATAATGATTCAGCAACAGGCAGGAGTGGACTATGAGGCACAGGGAAAGGGGTTTGACACTTTCCTCCCTCCCACAGTTCAAAGGCTTCCTTCCCATCCATCCCAGAAAGGAGACCCATATCAACAGTATTGGGTATTTTCCCAATTTAAGATAACATTTTAGGGTAAGAATTTCTTATTGGGAAATTCCAGATAATTTTTTGTATGCTAGAAAACTGTTGGCTTTCATCCCAATGAGGCAAATCCAGTAAAACCAAAAGTACAGGTGATCATGATCAGATATATATACATGCTACCTAGGAAAGAAAGACCTGGAACCAGTCTGCTGGCATATAGTTGGAAGCGTTGTACAGCAGTGGTTCCCAGCCTTTTTGATGGAAAGGCACATTTTGGAATTTGAAGGACTTCTGTGCGCTCGACCCCAAAAGGGCTCCTATGGTGGATCCGGCTTTGCACATAATGGCTGCCATGGGAGTCTATCATGTTCAGCAGGGTTCCTTGACCCATTGTGTAACATTTTCAGGGGACTAAAGGATTGCCATGGGGGTGGGAACATTTACCTCCCCCAGTCCAGTTGCATGCCCTGAAATCTGGATCCAACCCAGTGCTCAAGGGCTCTAATAGCATTGGAAATTCAATACTCAAACCTGGAACTGCTGTAATACTATGACCCATGAGACAATTGTGCAGCAAGGTATGCTTCTCCTTGTGTTCAGATAACTCTTTGGTTGTTTAGAAAGAGCAACAGACAAGAGGCTTACAACTATACATGACACAGCCCAAAAAGAGAGAGATTTCAGAAATTAAAAACCTAATCAGCCCAAGAGGAATCAAGAAGTATATGCACTTCAGCTGTCAGAATCCATTATAATATATATTTGTGCTTCCAGTCCAGGCACCAAATGGACAGGTGTTCCCATCAGGGAAATCCTAGTCGACACATGTCAAGAGAATCATGCACAAGCATAACAATGCACCAGAGCTACTTCTGTAGCCGTGCTAACCTCTGGAAACATATACAGGTCATTTCAGCTGTCTAAGTACCTAACGCTGAGGATCCCTGAGCAGCTATGAAAGGCCATCCATTAATATTTGAAATTTCCTTCCTAGATGAGTTATTCTTCCAAAGTTAGAATTCTTCTTCCCAGCTACCCTTGCATTAATTGCAAAGGTAATAAGTTCTAATTCTGGAGCTTTTAGAAGTGAGTCTGTAGTACCATGGATCAAAAGTAGGGTCATGCAACATTTTTGTAAATGATTTGTTATATTTTACAACATTGTGGAGGAGCTAATCATTTTGCTGCTCACCATGACTCATGTTAATGCTAGTGGGCAGCATCCAGTGAGGCAACCAAGGAGGTGCTTCGTTGCTTTTGGTTCCTGCAAACTCCGGCTAAGTCACTCTGCATGCAAAGAAAGGCATGGAGCTTCATGCTTCCATCTGCTTAGAAGAAAGTGGGCAAAATGGTACCAGTGATGTCATGGGAAGAGGCAGTGCCCCACTCCTTGATGTTATCTAACACATCAGGATCATTCTGAGTAGCAATCCAGCCTCAGGCCAGAAGACTTTGTCCACCCATCCCATATTAATACCAGTTACATGTGCTAATGCAAGAGGGATCTTATGCAATATCAGAAGTTTTAGTTTGCACAATAGGATTCCCCAGAAAAACCATTGTGCAAATGAATACTCTTGGCACTGTGCTACATCTGCTTTATACTAATGCAATGTAATTTGCATTGGCAGAATAATGTCACTGGATACAGCTTGAGGGGTTTTCCATTTAATTCTCTCCCAAACATATGGAAACTTCTTGGTAATTCTGTTCATGTTCTTTGCTAACATGGAGCAAGCAATGAAAAGGAATAAGTCTGTATATATCTATGACACCATTTGAACATGGTGACAATATGGATTGATGTGCTTATAAGTTCATTCATCACACACAACTACAAGAGGAACTTGTTTTTCATTCAACTCTCTAGTTTCAGCAGTAGAGACATGGAAATATGTCTCTATTTATTTCTATAATCATCTCCCCCACCATAACCTATTAAATCTGGGGGATTCATAGGAATTAAAACCATAACATACAGCATGATAAAATAGAATTTAAAGTTTAAAACTACAATGTAAACAAAAAGAAAATTCAAAAGAAAACCTAGCAACAGTACAACCATTTAAAATTTTGTAACAATTTTAAAACAAGAACAACTGAAAGACTAAAAGACTAAAATGCCTAGGAAAATAAGAATTTCCCAATAGGAAATTCTGGCATTTTACCATAAAATATTATTTTTTTTTTACTTGGTCCTGAAAAAAGCACAACATAAGTGCAAAGCAAGCTTCTCAGAGAAGCTCATTCCACAACTGAGGGGCCACAATGGGAAACACCATCTTATTAGCCACTAAATGAACCTTCTTTGTAGGGTGTAAGTTTAGTCTCAGGGCAGCTATGTACAAAAGGA